AGCACAAAAAAAGAAACTGTCCAGATGACCTGACTGAAAAATGTTGGGATGTATAAACAATGTTAGCATCTGCCTTGATTATAAGTCAGTAAATCACACACCTCTCTGGCCCTGTTGGGACCTTATGCATACCAGTCATTAGTTGCTTCCAGTTTCTGTCTATGAGGCTGACACATTGTCTACATTTAAGATTAGGATTTTAGTCTTTCCTTTTTGATAAATCCTACAGTTAAAAGTCGGCTCAGGTTTCCTGATCTGTCCCTTAGTTATGCTGCTATAAGCTTAGACTGCTGGAGGACAAACTGACCAAATTTCCTCACTCTGCTGCTCTCTTTATTTCCTCTTCTTTACCTTTTTGTATTTGTAATTATTTCTATCCTTAACATGTTTTTTTGTTGTTGTTTCATCTTTCCTCCAATAGAAAGTGCATCTGGACCTGCCATTCTGTGTTTGTTCCTCCTTCCTGTTCTCTCAAACCCCAGCCGGTCGAAGCAGATGGCCGCTCGTCCTTGGCCTGGCGCTGCTGGAGGTTTCTTCCTGTTAAAAGGGAGTGTTTCCTTTCCACTGTTACCTTTGTGCTTGCTCAGGATGGGAGACTACGACGAAGTGAAGATTCAACGCAATCTGCTGACTTCCTTAGATAGACAAATTTTACTAATAGTTTTTTAAATACTTATTTATGTATGTGAATGTTTCTATACTGTGCCCTGAGGCGACTTCTGTTGTGACTTGACACTATATACATAAACTGAATTGAATTGGAGTTGACTTTAGAGGTAAGAAATTGATAAATTCATAATGATTCTAGATTTCAAAAAGTCAAAACACACAATGTAAATGTGACATCCAAACTTGAGGTTGCTATTATCCCATGAGTGTGCAAGTATGAAATATGCATTTGGGTACAATGACCAGATCATGGTTTGATAAAAAGATGTCATTGAGAGACAGAGTTCCCTGCAGCAGCCGTCTTTGTCCATTTTCTAGTCTGACTGGTCTCTGCTGATGGGGCCTCATAAAGGAATCCAATAATCACATGCAGAGACCTTGAGGGAAGGGAACTACAGTAACTGCCAGGGACCATATGTGTGTGGGTGTGTGTGTGTCCTGCTGCAAGCGATCACCTCTGATTTATAGATGGTTTGACCATTGAGGACAATGAAGTCCACAATGAGATTCAACACCCCCTCTCTGCTCTAATTCTCAGTCTGATACCAGCCATCATGCCATTTTCGCACACACTCATACCAGGGTCATAAACCTCGTATTACTTTGTTTTTGTTGTGTTTGTCCTCTATTTGTTCTGCTGCTAATTTACCTCCTTCCTTACTATCTTTTCTATCTTACCCTTGGCCCATCTGTCAGTCAATGTATACAGATCACTCTGGGAGACTTGTTGGCTTCTGACATACCCATGACCCATAGCACCGTTGGCAGGTTTGACAATAAAGGTTTTCTGCTTGCGTTTCCTGCGAAGCTCTTTGACATAGTTCTGGAACTGAGTATACTCAGCCGGGAAGATCCAAGTTTTAGGTATAAAGCTGTACTCCTGAGGCTGGCACTTGATCATTCTGCAATAAAAAGGAAGAGAAGAGCAATTGTGTAAGTGTTTTTTTTTTCTCTCAAAGAATAAATATTTTATAAATTTAGGATAATCTGGAGCCTGACACTTGTTTTTATTAAATTTAAGATGAATATTGTGCTTTCAGGGCAGGACCTGCTTATTAAGTTTGAATTGTAGAGTGCTGCAAGAAACCAGCTGTACCTTCTTAGCGTACCAGTGACCTTTGCAATGCTTATGTTGCTTGAGTACTTCCACCATTGATTCAAAGTAGTTACATTTACATGTTAAAAGGGACCAAACAAAACTTACTTGGACATGTTTCTCGCTAGGCAGTCTTTGCGGCAGATTTCGCCCATGCCAGGGAAATGGTTAATTCTCTGCAGAGGGACAAGCAGACATAATAATGTTGTTAGGACCATTAAGCCACTCAATTCCACCCCCACCCCTTCATAAAAATGAGCGCATTAAAGGCAGCAACCTGAAGTGAGCTTACAATGTTCTGACATTTATGCCCAATTACAGACTCAAAACAAAAAGGTGACGCTGAGACCTTTCTCAACCCTTATTTAGTTTACCGTGTTTTTTTTATATACTTTAAAGGTTGGGGAGGGAAAGAAGCGAGAAAAAAAGACAATCAATCTCAACTCAGAGGGGCCAAGGTAATTGGTTCTGCATTGCAAGCTCCTGCGGTGACAGTTGAATGAATTGCTTTGAATGTGCCGTAAAATGGGTGGATGTAAAGGAAAAAGTTGGAGGTTTTTTGCATTCTTTGACCAAATGAGCCTGAACAGGGGTGTTAATTAGGCACGTATGAACTGAAAATTGAAAGCAAACTCTCAATGTGCACCGCAAAAAAACAAAAGGGACAAATAAAAAAGGAGCGGAAACGATGAGATGAAAATTAGAAATAAAAATTGTATAATGAATGTGTAATTGTTATCCAACCAGATAGACATAATTAAGAAATCAGAAGAGATTGCACAATTATGCTATTGCAGCTAGACTACATGGCGTGTGTGTGTGTGCAAATCAAAACCAATTGCTGAGGGACTTCTATTTTTCTTTTGAGAATGTATTTCATGGCATCATGAAGACGCAAATGAAAGCTAATATCGAAGCATCAGCTCTGTGCAAAAGATTAGCAACATTACGCATTAAGCAGTTTCAGTATTTGCAGTATTCAGTCTTCTTAGCTGAACTCTGGCTGCCCCTGTCCTAACAAGGCATCCTCTTCCTGACTAGACTGTGATTTAATTGATCATTTGTGACCAGTCTAATCAAATAAGCACTCTGTAAGATGGATAGCTAATGCTCAGAGCTGAGGGAGGGCAGCTAAGTTCAGTCAGCAGGACAAGGGAGGGGTCAAATAAAGGTAAAATCACTCTCAGACGAACACAGAAAAACTCAGAGTAACCCTTGTTGTTAAGGTCCATCTTATCAACATCACTAGTGACATCTGAAACCTGCCCCACCATCCCCTGTTGTTCACAGCCTGTCAGTCTACCTGTCAACCCTTCCAACCCGTTACCTCTGTTGTTGCCTCTCACTAAGTCCACCCATTTTCATGTCTGCTGTGTTACCATCCCAGGTTTTAGAAAAACAGACTGGCAAATCTTTCTATCACTTAGATGTAAATCTAAATTAATTCTTAGGTTTAATTTCTATTCTAACTGAATCTTTAAGATAAGTTGTTTTTCAGAGCTACATCTAACTAAATTCGTCTGCTTTTTGATCAGCTTCAACCTTGTTTTCCTGCCATTTGTTGATGATCCTGTTCATATTATTTGTGCACTGTTATGATTAATTTGACCAAAAGCTGTATTTAATATGTTAATGAATCAATATGCTAATTACTCTTCCACAAATTTTTGTCTCATAACCTCACCAAAAAGATGGGATTTTGTCTTTGTTTTTTGCCATTCATTTTTTCATGACTTGCAAAAACTGTTTATTTTTAATAAAAGATTTTTAAAAAATAGAAAGCTTTGTATAACATAATTGCAAATTCTCATTTGTCTTACCAGTCCAGTTTTATCATAGTTTACACCATTTTCACGCAGACTAGACAAACTGACAGCAAAAGAGACAACCATGTAAAAAGGTAAGTGATCTTTTATTTATTGTGAGTATTAATAGAAACCAGAACTCAGGATGCCTGTGTGGAGAAGCAAATTGGTAAGTATCTTGAAAACAGATGTTTTATGATCCATAGCAAAGTGTATCTTTGTTTGTCTTTGATGCAGGTGAGGAGAAAAGAGAGGATTCTAAACAGGCAGCTGTGTAGGAGGTGATTAGGTGAGTATTGGTTCGTAGGAGAGTGGCAGGACAGAAACTCAAGGATTGACCCAGTTAGATGACGAGGCACAGAAGCTAAGTGGTTCCAGGCTGTAGATCTCCCAGGAAGGTAGCTCAGGAGGTGCTTGAGGAAAGAGGACTTCCACAGGTAAGTAACTCAGGACTGGAGAAAATACAAGGAATCCAGTTTAGTAGCTTCTTATCACAAATAAGGATCACAAAGGGCTGTAGACTTGTTACCCAAAGGCCTCAAATGTTCCAGCGGAAATCTACTGAGCCACAGGTCTTTAAATACAGCAGACCTCTGCAGGCTAGATCAGGAATAGCTGTGTGAGGTAAGATCCACCCTGCCACTCAGGAACTGTAAGAACTGTGGTTAGTGGCAGGAAAACACAAAATCTCCACAGTATCCCCCTCTAAAGAATCACATATAGGCAATCAAAAACACTTCTAGGGATGTGGTCTATAAAAGGTAGTGATGAAACTGGGGTCAAAAATGAAGCATCTGGGGGTCTAGGACCTCACTTCAGGACCATAGCCCTCCCAATCCACCAGAAATTAAAATTCTGACCCCTACAACATACATCCAAGATACGCAGTATCACAACAGTGGAAGCTGAATGGTTGTCAATGAGTGGAAGGTGGAGGGAAGTTGGATGGAGGGTTCAGAGGACTTTCTAGAATAGGCTTGATGTGAGACACATAGAAGGTGGGATGTATTCTCATAGAGGGTAAATGAAATCTGACTGCTATGGGATTGATTATTTTGATGATGGAAAAAGGACTGATTAAACTAGGGGCAAGTTTCCTGGGTGTGTCCTTAAGTGTAATGTCTCTGGTGTAGAGCCATACCCTTAGTCCCACCTTGTAATTTGGAGCAGGTGTTATGTGTCTTTCTGCCAACCTGTTATTTTTTTCCATGTGCATAGAAGGGCCTCTCTGGTCTGTCGCTAGATCTCGTGACACCTTAAGAGATGGTGCAAGACAGCAGAAACTGGAACGTCACACTTCTGGCTGGAGAACAATGGAGGTGAGTAGCCCATAGAGGCTTCAAATGGAGAGAGACTAGTGGCAGATGAAGTGTGGGTGATGTGTGCATACTCAACCCAGGGTAAATGCTGACACCATATGGATGGGTTGTTATTGATCACATATCTGAGTGCTGCTTCCAGCTCCTGGTTGCACCTTTCAGATTGGCCATTTAACTGCAAACAATGACCAGATGTGAGACAGGATGTGGCTCCTAAGGATTGACAAAAAAATCTCCAAACCTGAGAGACAAGTTGGGGACTTCGATCAGACACAATATCACAAGGGATTCCATTTAACCAAAACACATGTTGGGTCAAGAGTTGAGCGGTCTCCAATGCAGAGGGGAGCTTGGGAAGAGGAATAAAATGGGCTGCCTTAGAGAACCTGACAATTATATTTAGAATAACTGAGTTACCTTCAGAGAATGGCAAACCCATGACAAAATCCAGGGCGATGTGTGACCAAGGACATCCAGGAGTGAGTAGTGGTTGCAGCAAACCAGACAGGGGATGGAGGTTGTTCTTGTTCTGGGAACAAGTTGAACATGCTACAACAAACTCCTTTATGTCAGGGGTTATGGTAGGCCACCAGCAATTTCTTATGTTAACATTCAGTTAACACCAGGGTGCCAAAAAAAACTTAGATGTGTGGATCCAATTTAGAACTTTACTTTTGACAACTTCTGAGACAAACATCTTTTGAGGGGGACCAGAACCAAGATCAGGCACTCTTAGCTGAGCCTCTGTAATGTCCTTCTGTATGGCCCATGTCATGACCCCAATGGTGCAGGTTGGGGGAAGGATGTTCTCCTTTGTCTTGGACTGGACATTGGAGGGAAATTTACGGGATAGTGCATCAACATTAACATTTCTTGAACCGAGTCGGTAAGTGATGGTGGAATTAAATCTGGCAAAGAAAAGGGACCAGTGAACTTGAAGGAAGTTCAGTCTTTTTGCATTCTGGAGATAAGCTAGGTTTTTGTGAACTGTCCAATTAAAAATGGCATCTCTGAGCTTTCTAGCCAATGCCTCCATTCCTTTAGAGCCAACTTCATGGCTAGTAGCTCTTGGTTGCCTATGTCATAGTTCTGCTCTGCCAGTGACAAGCATCGAGAGAAGAAACTGCAGGGGTGGAGCTTATTGTCCTTCTTAGGCCTATGGGTGAGTACAGCTCTGACTCCAGAGTCTGATGCATCCATCTCTAGGACAAACTGGTGCTTCCTTTCCAGATGCATTAGAACAGGTGCAGTTTGAATAATCTTCAAACTCACCAAACACTGAATTGGCTTTTGGGGTCCATGCAAACATGCATAAGGTGTAGGTGAGTGTGGTTAAAGGAGCAGAAACACAATTATAGTCCTTTATGAAGCGACAATAGAAGTTTGCAAACCCCAAGAAACATTGCAGCTGCTTCCTGTTCTCTGAAATTGGGCATTCAGCAAAGGGTTTTACCTTCTCAGGTCCATTTGAACCTGCCCATTTTTAATAAAATCAAACCCAGAAAGGTTACAGAAGATGCAATAAAATCACACTTCTCTGTTTTGACAAAAAGCTGGTTTTCAAGGAGGCGCTGAAGAACTGTTTGTTCATGTTGAGTGTGCTGCTATGTACCCTTGGAATAGATAAGTATATAATCTAGATATACAAACACAAAGATGTTCAGGAAGTTGCACAGGACATTGTTAACTAAAGCCTAAAAACATCTGAGGCACTGGTCAGTACAAAAGGCATGATGAAAAACAAAATGTTAGAGGTGTTCTGAAGGCCGTTTTCCATGTGTCACCTTTTTGGATCCTGTTGAGATGGTACGCATTGTGGAGATCGAATTTTGCAAAAATGGTAGGGTCAAAAAGTTGTTCATAAACAGGCTCAATGAGCAGTAATGGATATTTATTTTTACGGTGATCCGATTTAACCCTCAAGTCAATACATGGTCTTGGGGTCTTGCCTTTTTTGGAAACAAAAAAGAATCCAGCTCCAACGGGGGATGTATAGGATCGAATAATTCCAGATGATAGAGATTCTTTAATGTAGTTCCTCATTATCTCCCTCTCGGGAACAGACAGGTTGTAAAGTCTGTTAGTGGGCAGAGGGACAACCAGAAGGAAATGATCAATGTTGTGGTACAAACAGTGCCTTTTGTTTGCTATATACTCGGACCAAGTCATGGTAAAAATTGGGGGTATTGGTGAGATCAATCCTCCGTGCTCTTAGAAGCTTTATGAAATGAAGAAATGGCTGTTCATAAACACTTCTCAGAAGAGTTATTACTCCAGCTCTCAATCCTCTTGTCAGTCCAATTAATGGCAGGATTATATTTTCTTAGCCAAGGAAAATCCTAAATGACTTGGGGGAGTAAGAGAGTCAAAGATATAGAACCCACCCTTCTCATTCCATCTTGTTCTAGGAAATGACAAGATGACAAGATGAAATGACAAGATGGAGACTTGACATCTTATGAGAAATGGAGGTGATGGTTTGACCTGTGAGGATGCCAACAGTGAGAAGTTGAGTTAATTCCTGTACCGGTATTAGTAGTTGCTTCACAAGGTCCTTACTAATGAGATTTAGTTCTGCACCAGAACTCACAAGAGCCAACACAGGGAGATTAATCATCTTATCACAAATGGTAGTAGGAAGGACAAAATGTGAGCAAGGAGAAGCAAGGTAACTACCCACTAGTACTTCCCAGTTTATTGGTGGGAATATCCTTTTAACCAGTCTGGGCAAGTTGTAATTAAGTGTCCCCCTAACACAATATATGCACTCCTTGGTGTTGATTCCTCTCTGCCTCTCCTCTGAAGTGAGTTTGGTATGCCCTATCTGCATAGGCTCTGCCTCAGAAAAGTTTGTTACCTCTTTAGGTGGGTGGTCACTTGTGAAGTCCAGAAGTACTCAGGGCCCAGAAGCGGGGAACTCTCAGGACTTGGGAGTTTCACTCCCTTTGTCATTCTCGGACGCGATTATAGATCCGAATGGTGACATTAATCAGATCGCTTAAGACTCTTGACTCATCTCTGGTGGCTAACCGATCTTTAATTTATTCATTAAGATAATTAACAAACATACATTGCAAAGCTTTTTCTTTCCATCTGGTTTCTTGTATGGTGATCTGGAAGTGAATAGAAAATTTTGACAGAGCCTCCCTTGGCACATAGCTAACAGTTTCTTCTCTGTAATTTCCTGGTGATGTGGGTTGTTGAAAACCCACTGGAAATCCTTCAAAAAAGCTTGAAAATATACATTTTTAATTGGGGGAGAACAAAGGTAAGCATATAGCCATTTTAGGGTGTCCCCATTTAGTGCATTTATAATATAGGTAGTAATACAAGAAACATCAAAGGCGTAGGCTATTGAAGCTTGATTGAAAGCCAAATTACAATCCACCAAACTGGTCAGGATTACCTTTGAAATGTTCTGAACGTCTGATATCTGGTTCACGAGAGGTGGTAGATGTACTGCTGCTCGCAGGAGTCAGCTTGGGTGGAAGAGGCGATGAGGAAGTCTGAATGGTAGGTAAGAGAACTGCCAGTTTGCTCGTTTGTTTTTTCAAGGGAAAACATCACTCCCCAGCTCCTTCAAATTAGCCTTGGAGGTTCATTGCTGGGTGAGGATCTGCTGGAGAGTAGCCTCATATTTATCAATGTGTTTATTTTGAAGTGTTAGGGAATCGTGAATGAGTTCACTTTCAGTTTTACTCTGGGAATTCATGTCTTGGCTGGAACATTCCATCATAATTTACACTATTTTCACCCAGTGTGGACAAACTGACAGCAAGATAGATGACCATGTAAAAAGGCAAGTGATCTTTTATTTACAGAGAGTATTAATAGAAACCGGAACTCAGGATGACTCTGTGGAGAAGCGGATTGGAAGGAAAGTATCTTGAAAACAGATGTTTTACGATCCTTAGTATCCAAAGTGTATCCTTACTTTGTTTTTGTTGTAAGTGAGAAGAGGGAGGACTCCAACCAGGCAATGGTGCAGGAAAATATGAGGCGAGTATTCGTTCGTAGGAGAGTGGCACGACGGAAACTCAAGTACTGGCCCAGTTAGATGACAAGGTGCAAAGGTAAGTCATTCCAGCGGAGATCTACTGAGCCACAGGTCCTTAAATACAGCAGACTGCATCTGGCTAAATCAGGAACAAGTGTGAGAGGCAAGCTCCACCCTGCCACTCAGGTGCTGCAAGAACTGTGCTTAGTGTCAGGGAAACAGAATATCCACAAGTTGTTTTCCAACATAAATTTGTATATACAGTAGTACAGTAGAGCATCAAAAGCTTCTGTCATATCTGAATAGTTGCACTAGTTACATATACCAGAATTTGAGTGTTACTTGAGGTAATATTTTCCTTTCATATTCCATTCAGTAGAACCTTTAAAACTTAAAGGAAAATAGGTGTGATTTCTTCTAAAATCATTTAGAAATCCTTCACAGTTAAGATTTGGTCAAAAAGTATTTCAAAATCTTTATAGGCTTTAAATAGACCTTGAATCATGGTGGTTTAAAGGGTTTGTTGAATTAAAGTCTTCTAAAATATATAATATTGTTACTAGAAAATAATGTTTTATTTTTCTTCAGAAACATTCATTAGGAAAATCTCTGCCTTTAGGCCTTTTAGCTGTCTGTCTGTCTGTCTGTCTGTCTGTCTGTCTGTCTGTCTGTCTGTCAATCTACCTATCTTGTAATATCTGTGAGTCCAAAACGTTTATAGTTATATAGAATATTAGAAACATATCTGCTTTGATGGAACACGCAGAAATTGTTTGTCAACCTTCTCATTGTAGATCTCCTGTCTAACCTTGAGGCCGCTGTGAGACCAGCTGAGGTATGTTAACTTTTCAGGGTTCTGTATACCTGATAGTTCCTGAGTTCAGCAATTTTCTCATGCTGCACGGCAGAGTCATTCCAGATGAGGTTGGCAGTCTCATCATCATCACGTGATTTGATGAAGCCCATCTCGCTGATAACTGTACGAACTGAGGTGAAACACAACACATTAGTTTCTGACAAAATAATGAAACAATAGAATGAGCCTTACAGTCCTTTAAATAAAAATGACATTATTTTTTTAAATACTACATGAAAATTGGCCATCCATATTTACAAAAAAACCTTTACGTTACAGATGCTAAATTCAAATATGCCACAAAAATCTTTTGCTAACGCAACTGCAGGTCAGTATTTCACTCAAACATTTTGTTAGGCTTAAACATTGTTTTCATCTATTAGGAAATATAAATTTGGAAGCCTATAGATCAAAAAGCTCACAGCAATGTTTAATATTTATGGAATGGTTGCAGAGCAGCTAATCATAATGCCTCTCTTGAAAAAGATAAATTAATTGACTGTAATGCATTCAAATCCCACCGGAAAGCCCATCGTATGAGAGATAGGTGGCAGCCCATTTGGACATTAATCCTACAAGTATTCATTATTCAGGGGTTAATGAAAAATTCATATGCCCTAACAAAACAAAGTATTAATTAATTTCTTGAAAGCTTCCACAAACCTGGAGAAGGCCTGCCTAATGTTGCATGATGGCACTTTGAATGGGAAAAAGATGTTTCCAATGTGACTCCATCCATCTGTTAATGTCAGTAGAGACTAACGGTGTTTTGCTAAATGGAACAGGGAGGATTTTTACATCAAAGCAGACATATCGGTAACAGTAAGGTCCTTTAGTACAGCAAAGCTATAATTGATCCTTTTCTTGCTCGTCTTACAAAACAGGCAACTTAAGTGCAAGAATTTACGTTCCCTCCACGGTGGGGTAAAAGCAGAATTTCAATATAATTTTCCTACACCATAAAACTTTATTTGTAAAACAACTGGTTCTACAAAAGAAAAGAAAAGACAGGTGCAAAAAACAGTAAAAACAAGCCATCCAGCTGGCCTGTGGCGTTAACTTTCCCTCAAAATAGACCTGAACTGCTCTCAAAATGGCCACTGTGAGGGTCTCGTCACAGCGAGCTTACTGACTCACAGCTGGACTTCCATCTACCAACAGGATCCCGACTGCCTCCAACTTCTACTCACGGCTGCTGACTCCTTAGTTTCATAGGTTGTAGTTCACCCCTGAGAACTCTGCTGCCACACAATATATTGAACTTGTGTGGAGTGCTTACAATGCTCTTTTAGCCAATCTAAAAATAAAATAAAAAACACTGCCAAGTTAAATTACCTCACCAAAGATTTATGTATGTATATAAGGCTCAGCTGTGTGAACTGTTCTGCTGGACTGCTTCTTTTAAGGTTTAATTTAAGACAAAAAAAAAAACTTTCAAGCAATCTCTCACAGTTAATTAGATTTTATTTTTGAGGCAACACTGGAATTGGATTTGTGGTGTTTTGAAGGACTCGGGAAGCCATACTGAGAGCTTTTTCTAGAACTGCTCACTCATGACATTTTTATGAGGAAAATCAAAACATAATTTCACAAGTCTTAAATTCTTAGAATTTAGCACAATGCAGCTGAAGTAATCAGAAAATTTGCCTACCCACAAAAACAAAAGCTGTCATTTCAGCTAAGTTTTTCTGTTAAAAGTATCGCCTACCTGTTTATGTTCAAACGTCACAATAATACCACGGCTGCAATTAATGCTGGTGAATCAGTTCAGCACTCGGGTGGAAGGTCAATGAAAGGTCTTGCTCATAATCTATGAAAAGCTCTATTGTATGCAACTAATGTTGCAAAAAAAAATGAAAATAAATTAAAAACTACAGCAAATTTTAAAATTTTTTGTTATAATTAGACCAGTTAAGGATAAGAATATTTATTTTAATTCCTCGCCAACTTTTTTTGCCTGTAATTTAAAATTTTATCGTTGCGATTTAAATAGTTATGCAATCTTTTTTGGAGGTAAAGCACAATACCTATTTCATATTTTGTGCCAGCAACATTGGCAGTGATGGTGCCTTTCTTCTTCTTGGAATGCACCTTCCTCTTCCCGCTGCTCTGGTAGGAGCCCACAGATGGGCCGTTCACGGGGGACGCTCCTTGATCCTCTGGAGGCGAGAAAGCATACAAACAAGGCTGGATACAGTCACAGTTTGTGCCCCAGAACAGGGGAGGAACAGAAGCCTAATGTATTTTTCTTATTACTTCAGGGGATTTAGAGAAGTTTGTTTATGGTGGAAGAATGTAAGTGGATTATTCATCTTGCCTGGTGGAGTTCCATACATCATAGTCCTTAAATTATTATGTCGGTGCGTGTGTACGATTGTGTGTGCGCCGCTGTATTTAAAAACGTCACACTGGATGCGCAAAGACAGACAAAACCTGTCAGTGCTGGGAGGAATGAGGCTGTCTTACTCACCTCCATCATTTGGGGGGGAGGGCATCTCAGAGGCAGCAGGAGTAAAGGGGCGAGCCAAGCTTTCTGCCAGGCTTCGTGGGCGGGCCTCACAGGGAGCTCGCAGCACCCTCCACGGGTTCTCTCAAGCTCGCTAGTTACTCTTCCCAGTTCTGGGCTGTGTGAACAATGTGGTTCAGAATCGCCCAATGGATCATCTGAGCATCTCCTAGGCCCCCTTCAGCAGCAAAGCAGGGGGGGTCAGAATGGATAGTAGCGGTGGGAAAAAGAGGGAAGGGGAGGATTCCACAACCGTCTGCAAAACCCAAGCTTCTTTACAGCCTCAAGAGGAGAAAGGGGGAAGGGGTGGACAGGGGGTGGGGGGTGCGGTAGAAAGTCCTGTAAATGAGAGGAAAAAAAACATGCATTATAGGTGCACTGCAATGGTAGAGTTAGCACATAAATGTGACACAGAAAGAAACATATCTGCTGACACTGCCGATTAAATAATCTAATATTGCATCTGCGGAAATAATTGGTGTTTTATGGAATCGTTGGGGAATTATCTTGTTCTCGTCACGTAAAGTGTTTTCAGTATGTCCCGGTGTCTTGTGCCTGCTGGGTTTAACTCGGTGGCTGCAAGGTCACTTCATTCAAACAGATGGCATTTTTACAGTGGTTTATTAAAACACTGCCTCAGGGATATCAACACCAGTCACCAGGTTCTGTGGTCACCGAGTGTGTCCTCGGACCTTTTTTGGAAGTAATCAGCCATTGTGGAGATGGCCTGCTTACATTAATGCCATTACTGGCTTTGGCAGCAAAGTGGCTCTGTGATTTGAGCTGTTCCAACAAACTTGAAACGGGGTTCTCATCGGAAGAAGGCACTCTTATTGGTTTCTTGTCGTGTGCACCTGAATTTTTTTAAGTTCCTCTGTTCGTCTGAATTGGATAAGCGTTTCACAACTGTTGGGCTGAGGCACACCAAATATATATTTTTTAATTTAATAAAATGATCTGCATTCATTTATTTTTCCAGATGGAGGAATATTCTTTGCTTTGTGAAAATATTTCTAAAACTTTCCCAAATAACTTCAGTTCATGTTGCTGAATGGAATTTAAACTGTGACAGATGTTAATAAGATCAGGGGGAAAAATCCACGAGGGGGAAATGGTTCACTTCCTCATATACCAATGTGTCTAGCAGATAACATGGCCCAGCATAAACAAAGAAAAGGTGAAAACGTATTGCTAGACAGTTTCATAAAAGTAGTTTACTCTTAGCTGAACAGAGTAAGTCCGCAGCCTTCATCTGAGTGTGTCATGGCAGAAGTTGGAAAGTGGTAACCACAAGGAAAAAAGTAAAGCCGTGCTTGAAAACCAAATGTGCTTTTGTTTTTTAGAAAAGAGAAGCATTCTTCATAGGAGCTGAAACTCTCAACCAAAGAGAGCAAGATGATTGCCTGGTTTACTTGAAAGTGTCTAGCAATGCAATTTAAATTCTAGTGACGTCTATTGCAGAACAAAACAAATGTCATATAAATGCAACGACACCTGCTGTTTCTGTAATAAAGAAAGAAAAAAAAACAGCAGGAATAGAAATCAGAAGTGCCCATTTCTGGCAATGCTATCAAGATAAAAATCAACAAAATATCAGGCAACATGAAGCGATGCTTGACATAAAAGTTGTGTCTGAAATACTAATTTTCTTGACAAATTGGCCTGCTCAAATTAGTGAGGTGATGCAAATACTGGCAAGTGTCAGTTTAGCTGGTACTTGGTTCATTTTGCGCAGATTTGAAGGCAGTTGTGCATGTCGTAATGTGATGTGGGTACAAAAGGGTTATTAATGACTGCTCTGGAATACCTCAGAGGGACAGAAGTAAGTCTGTAAATTTGTGTGAATGTGTTCTTGAATAAGCATAAATAAGTAAGCATAATTTTAACATGTATGCACTTGTATTGGTACTATAATACGCTCTTTGAAGTGTGGTGGTTGTGCGTCCTATTCTAGATTCAAGACAAGAAATAAGTTCCAGGTTATATTTATTTGCCTATACATGCAAGCATATAGGATCATATGCCTGTAATGATCCTATATGCACTCAAATAAGATCACTTGGTATATGAATGCTTTATTATAGTTTAACTATTTCTAGCAAAATGAAAAAAATCACTACAGCCCAGAGCTGAGCAGTCAGTGAATTTAAGGGATGTATTTGTTGTAAGTTTTTAACTTGTTGGTAAAATCCTCTGAAAGCCTGGTAATAAAATGTACTTAAGTACAATGCCTCTATTGGGTCCTATTTCAGTGGAACTCTAAAACACAATCTGTCTATAACAATGCAAGTAAATATTTTGGGCAGCTTAATTAAATATGAAAGGCGTTATCTGTATTTGGGTCAAAGGGTTAGAACTTACTGGTTGCCCATGCAGGCCTGTACTGTGGTTCTAAATCAGTGGTGTTTAGTGTTAATGGATCATAAATCAAAAAGTCTTTAAAAAAAACAAAATGCTTAAAAACTTTCTTCAGAAGTATGCATCACTGTCTATAAAATGCAAAGAGGGTTGTTTGAAGTACAATTGATAAACTTTATATATACACAACCAAATCAAATGTTAAGATGTTAAATTAAAAATGCATAATAAAAAACCCTCACGAAGTTAAACCAAACAAATAAAAGACTACCTAATGAACTGCACTGACCATAAACTTTATAAAGACTAAATAATTCATAAATCATAGGTATTATAATCCTGTGCCATATAATCCATATTACATTTTGTTGTGGCGTCTTCAATTTCATAAAAAGATCAACAGTAGCCTCTAGTGGTGAGAGTGCATTGAAAATACTTTCTTTCTCTCTCTCCTAACAATGTTCACTGTCCACAAGCCCATTTTGTAAGATCAGTGAGCACATCTGAGCCAAGGAGACAGCTTACAAAGCAACCCTATTGATTCCATCATCAGCCTCTCTAGACAAATGAGAATGAGGAAACAATCTGATTTCATTGCTTGATCACTCTGCAGTCCATAACGTCAGCCTCTTGGTCTGCCTGTGGTAAGCACAGGTCATTGATCCTGACAACGATGAGATCAGCAGAGAGGGGTGGATGTTGGGGTGGGGGCTGCAACAACAAAGACCTGGAGTGATAAAGCGGGGCAGGCTGTGTTGCTGACAATCTGCCCCCACCGTCCAGTGGTGTACTGTACTGACTTTGTGTGCAAGCTGCTGGGAACACTGACTCTATGCGAGAACTAACTCAGAGTCATGTAACCCCACAACTAAAACGATGACTAAATGCAAGTACTTAATTAATAAGAAGGGGAAAAAAGACAGACACTAGCAAATGTAACGTTTTCAACCGGACTACAAGCTGTGCTGCAGATGGTGTCATTTTCTCATTATTTCAACATTATCTCAGATAAAACAAACATGTTTTCAGATTTCAAGTACTTTCACAAATGCTGTAAATAAGTGCATCACTTGAACTTCTTTGAATGAAATACCAACACCGATTTCTAACCTAGCTTGTTGGATTGGATCTCACATCACAGTTGAGATACTTTGGTAGAACATTGATTGATGATATCCACTAAATGAGGCCTTCTGGGGATTTCCTAAACTGTCTCAATTGGTGGTGATAATTATGAACTACGAGGCCAGATGGTTTACCTTGCATTCTCTTGAAAGCAGAAAGATTTCAAAGTCAAACTCAAGAAGCAACCACTTCTGCAACATCATGCATGTAAAGTCATTTCATTTGCATCATAAGGAAATAGTGCTTTAGATGTTTGAATTTAGACAGTGTCTCATCTAAATAAAATATAATCACTAAAACTTACAAACCTGTGTCAAATTTAACACTGCTACAAAACGGAATGAATTGTATTTATATTCCTTTTAATGTGACCTATGCAGTTACTAATGCGTAATTAAAACTTTGATGTTAGAAGTTTATAAACATGAATTTCCACTGCATTAATCATATAGCATTGAACAAAGAAATCATTACAGTAGTTCCATCAGTGTAACATTAACAACAAATTCCTGAGCCAAAGCTCAAACTCTGATGCAATAACAATCTGACCAGCAGAGGGAGCCAAAGACCACTGACATGAAATAGTGCAGAGCGTTTTGAAAGCTTAGTTTATGAGTTGTCCTGCTGCCAGCCAACACAAAAAGGCTTCAGTGTGAAGAGTCAGCTCTTTGTGATGCTCATGTGCATGCCTCTCTCTGTTTTACTGAAGAAAATAACAAATGCAGGTTTGTCTTTGAGTGCAGAGCTATACACTTTTCTAACAACTATCCAGTGCAGGTTGTTACCAGACATAGTTTTCTTACAATAACAAACATAGTAGTTTTTTCTGCCTCATAACTTAACTGTCGTTCTCTTTAATTGATGCTATTGTTGTTTTTAATCTGTTTTGTGTTTGTTTAGTTTTGGTTGGACTTATTAGTTTTTAGGGTTTATTCTGTTTTGTACATGTAACTGTCCTACACTGCAAATTAGCTATATACACTACGGTGTGTAGTGTTTTGCCAAACATTTACTCAATAAATAAATAAACTGAAATTATATTAAGAGGATAAACTTGTGTTGATATTACTGGTATCCTGTTGTTAAAAGGTTAGCCTATTTGAGAAAACTCTTTCATATCCAAAAGCAAATCCACAAAAACCACAAACAGCTGTTCAAAAAGTGTCATCAAAAGAAAAGCTTAGACGGTGTGACAGATGTTGCTTTTAGATGTGACACCTCCAACAACAGCAGTACATCTTGGACAGGTTTGATTTATGCTCTTGTTGCGTTACACAAAACAGCATCATGAAAACAATAATCAAATACACAAAGAAAAAGTTGTGAAAAACGCCACTTTAACTTGTTTCATGATGAAAGTCCAGGATTGGCTGATTGTCTTTTGTCTCTCTGCACACTTGGTTCACTGCTCTCGTTATTACACCACTAGTTGGACCTCAGGGGCTTGTATAGACTCCAAGAAGGAAATAAAAAAATAAAAAAAACGTTTACTATGGCAATATCTTTCCACCTCTGAGAAGTAAATGTAAAATACATCAACACTTCTACATTTATTCTACCATTGTCTGAGACCACTGCAATTGCATAGCTCGTAGGTAAAATGATAGTCGAGTTTGTGAA